AGCAGGGTGTGTGGTTGATACTAGGACATGAAAAAAGTGGCTTTTCCTTCCACGCTTATAGGTTGTGACGTCTGTCTATGGGCCTAACTCTATGAGATACCAGAAACCTGCAAAGCCTATTGGTTACAGCACATATCAGGGGCAGGCTGGTAGGTGCTGTCATTTCTGTTGCTGCACCTGGCTTTCATCACTAGGGCTGTATCTACACTACTAGCTACTGCTGGCACAGCTGTGTCAGTCAGCTGCATGACAAGCTGCAGTCCCTTACTGACAGCTCTGCTAGCAGAAACACAGTGCAGATGCAACTACACCAGCAAAGCTGTACTTTTATCAGGAGAGCTTGTTTTGCTTGGGACTGAAGGTAGGGTAGTCACTATAATGGTACAAAACACAGCTTTGCTCATGTGACAGGCTGGTATTCCTGTACCAGTGACATGCTCCTTTAATAAACAGTCTAGTTCTACACGTACAGAAAGGTATGCATTAGTTATTGCATTAGATAAATGTAATTTCTGAGTTCTGTCTTCCCTTTGAGCTGTGGTCAGGAAGAGATAAATTAGCCATAAAAGATATTCTGGACCCCAAAACTTCTTACGAAGCTGTAACATCACAAACTGAATGGAGTTTCTCCATAATAACCACTTGCAATGTCTTATCTGCTGCTTCGCTTATTCTTCAGATTGGCAGTTGATGATATGGATTAGAAAGATTCTCTTGAAATCCCAATTAATGCAGAAGATGCACAGGTGAGTAGAAACAACATTTCCCAAGGCGGCCTTTAATGATGGGTTATAGCAGAGGCCTCACAGTGGCCGTATCACACTCCTAGAGAGTGTTCTAAGGGCCATGGAGTGCTGGGAACAGCGAAGACAAGTTGGGAGCATGTCAAGAAAATAATGTCAATTTTTTGCATGAATATAACATTACTGTAAATACATTGAATGCAGAGAGCAAATCTGTAGTAGTTTAACATACTGCTATTTAGGTGGCGAATGATTTTTGAATTTACCTTGTCTGCACACCTTCATGTCAAAAGAAGAGATAAGAGTACTTAGTGAGATAATCATTGGACATGTCTACATGTGCACTTTAATGCACATTAGCCTTCTTTAATGCACATTAAAGCAACACCTAAAAACCAGGGTCTTTAGTTAATTGTTCATTGAGGCATGCTAATATACATTTTCCTAGTACCTCAGGGCACTTTTACACATGCTCTGGGGGGTGAGGGAGGTTGTGATTTAGTAGAGTGGCTCCACCACTATTTTGAAGCGTGGAGATGTTGAGACACAAGATGTGGGAGGCTGCTGGAGTTTGGCAATTACCACGCTCCAGCAGACTCAATCAAGTGCCTATACATGAGAGCAGAGATATAATGCACATTAACTAAAGTGCATTTATGCACATGTAGATGCACCCATTGGATACCAAATAACTCCAGGCATTGATTTTACACTACAATACAGTCAGCTTTACCTATTTGTGCTGTGACTCAACATGATGGCAGATATTTGTTCATTGACTAATCCTGAACATTTGAACATTGCACTTGAAGTACCCTGATGGTACTCCTAGGCAATGTGTATATTCTTTTCCAGTGAGGGCTCACTCCTCTCTTTTTGCATACTTAAATCACCCACGGAAGTCACTAGCCATTGTAATTGCAAGAGCAGATGTTAAGAGTTTTTCTCTTTGTGGTTTGTTTGCTTTTTTTTTTTTTAAGGGTATTCTTTATTGTGATATCCCACTGCCCCTGTCCCGCACAGCTGGCCCATCACAAGGTCTGTGCGTCACAACCCCACAAACTATACCTCCAGCTTCCACTTTTAGTGTATCCAGTCCATGTCAGCGCCTGTTTCTTTATTCACTTACTTTGTTTTTTGTGTAGCTCCATAGGTGTGTTTGCTGCACAAAGTGTCCCCACTATACAAGAAAAAGAAGTGAGCAGAGCCTCCGCACTAAGGCACTGAGTGGTTTATGCTGCATCACACTGGCAGTTACACTTGGGCTAAGAAGGATCGTTTCATTTAGCAGAAGTTCAGAAACCAAATGTTGAACTTCCTTGTGAAAGCAAAGGGAGCCCTGGATCCAGGGAATTCAGCGTGATGAGCTGCCACAAAGCCACAGGCCCTGGAACCCGACATGGCCCTGAGTGAGGAATCCTACCAGGTGAGCTGCTGAGAAGCTGGGTGGGTGAACTGGCGGGACATCAGGACTGGTCTGGTTTCCTGGAACTCAGTTAAACTTAGGCCAGGTACAGATATTACACTTTTACCAGTATAAGTGATCAGAATCCGGTCTGCACCTGTAATAGAACAGTTCGGCACACAGAAGTTTGGTTTAAAACTGGCAGAACTTGGTCTAAGATTCCTTCCCATCCCCCCGCCTCCCCCGCTGCCCCAAAAGCAAATGTGTATTCTGTTTACCAATCTAAACTACGCTGCTTACTGAAAATTGCTTAACAGATTGATTTCACCTCAAGCTTTTTAAATGTCTGTACCTAGCCTTACTAAGTATTGCTCTGATGTAGTTCTCTGTTCATTCCCTCCAATCCCCGCGCTCAGAAATGCATTGTAGTGGTGCAATTTGACTTGCACCAGATTTCAAGAGTAAATCATGCTGTTGCAAGCACTGCTTTACAGCATTGCAGCACATATACTTTGAGGGTGAAATACTCGCCTAATTGAAAAAAATGGGGGTTTTGCCATTGATGTTGTTGGGGCCAGATTTCCATGCTGGGAAGCTGCATATAGGTTGCTATAGTATAGTTAGTGTAGACAGTGCTGTCAGAGTTCACCTATGTGCATATCTTCCTCCTGATTTTGTTCTGCTTTTTTTTTCTTGTCTACCCACCAGCTTGTGTCTTGCAATTTTGTTTGCTCTTTAATTTCACTAATCTCCATATAATTGCTATTGTCCTCATGATTTTGAGATCCTCCTGCAATAACAGTCACAGCCTGTCTTATGATCTATTTATGTATGAATTATTGTTACTTTTCTGAAGTTTAATAGATTAAATGAGAGAGAGAAAGGGAGAGCATGCCTATCTATAGAAAGCATCCAAAGGAAAAAATAATCAAGCACTCCAAGAGTAAGATAAAATAATTACCACATCACCTACAGGATTCTTAACAAAGTCTGAATCTTCATTGCCCTATTAATGAACTGCAATTTAATCGCTTGAGAGCATCTCAGTATGGAATCAAAATGATTTTTTTCATATGACATTCACTCCATGGACAGTTTTTATTTGATACTTGTGAATAAGGTTCTGCTGGAAGCACTCCGGAAGGCATTGCCTGTGAATTTCATCTTTGCTTTCTTATGAATTGCAGATTAGGTTCTGGAGGTACCATCTCGTTCAGATGTAATGAACTATTATTTTTATTTAATTGTCCTGTCCAAAGCTAATTGTTTTTCCTTTTGATTTTTGGAGGGTCTGAGTTCATTGACATAACTAAGTCCTGATTCAGCTGAGCACGCAAACACTTGCTGAATTCACGTCTTCACTGGAATTTAAACATGCGCCTAACTGCTTTGCTAAACTGGGGCCTCAGAGACTTCCCGTTGACCTCATTGGGCCTAAGGAAAGCATTTTTTTCACTCTGTGGAAATGCTATTTTAAAAAAGTAGCTGCAAGAAGCTATCTTATGTGTGTTACCTATAGTGACAGGTGGTCACTATACCAGCAATAGCCTCAAGGCAAAAGCTGGCCTTTCTGAGCACGCTGGCACTGCTGATCACATGAGTATCACTTGTTCTTTCTCTGGAGGGGGGAATCTGTCTGCTCTCCAAGGATGCCAATGCAGTACCACACCATTAACAATGCAAATCATAGCTGACTTCAGCAAGATGCTCTTTAGGAAAGAGAAAGGCAGCGGCAAATAATTTTTGAGCTAAAAGTTGTTTTGGGAAATGACCGGCTCTTGTTCTCTGTTTGTACAGCACCTAGCACAGTCCCTGACTGGGGCCCTCAGTGCTATAATAACACAAACAAATAACAGTAATATAGTCCATTAATTGTAAATTATGAAGACTAAAGGAAAGTCATGGCAATCTTACATGTCAATAACCATATCAGCCCTGTTAGCTTTGCTTTTTTTTTCTTCTCTCTCCAAGTTCATGGCAAGCTGCCTTGCTGCTCTCTCTCCCTCCTTCTGTTCTCCCAAACCATCTGTGTCCCCTTTCCAGGCAGCAATTCTATGATTCAGAGCCATTCATCCCTTTGTTCTTTCCCCCCAGCATCCTACTCCATGGGTCTCTCAATGTATTGTCTGCAATCCAGAGTTCCTGTGACAAGTCCAGACTTATACAACTGGGAGGTGGCGGGGGAAGGGAAGGCTGCCTTTGGGATATAAACATGTAATATCATCCTACACACCACCATGGGAAACGGCATGGGGGTAGGAATAGTCACAACATGAAAAAACGCATTATTTAGGTATGGAAATATTATTGGCTACACCTACATTTTGCTGTTTAGTCACAAAGCCATCTCCCTCTTTGTTGAAGCCACATTTACAGGGTGTGATGTAAATCCCAGTATACATGGTAATGAGCACAGGTTCAGTTTTGTCCGCAAGCAGAGATTGGCTGGCTGGCACTGGGACTCTCCTTCTCTAGCATTTATTCGATAAGCTCAGAAGCCATTCCTCAGAGTTTTGGACATCAGAGCATCATGCCCATGGTCAACATAATGCCCTAGTCATATGTAGATGCAGACTCAAACTATTGTGATTTTATCCATATACTGCAACTACACACATCTCTCCTGTGGGCCCTGGGAAGCTTTCTGTTACTCCTAGTTTCTGAACAGGCATTTCCCAGTAGCCTTTCCAAAAGCTCTGACTGAAAGCAGGGTCTGGAACAGCACCTCTGTCCTTGTTAGTTTTGATCATCCATAGAGTAAAACCCATAGAGTGAAGATCACGCGAGAAGCATTGTTGCTTCAAGTAAACTTGGAGCCTGGTGGGGAGCAGGTTGTTTATCTAAGGCCGTACCTTAAAAGTTCCTGTGCGACTCCAGCCTCAAAATCCTTCTTTTCTGTCAGGTGTTGAAAATTCCAGCTCAGCTACGAACTCTTGAACGTTCCCATTCTGAGAGCCTGCCACATCCCTGTGAAATGCTGGGGGGACTGGAGGAAATGGCAGCCCTACTAGAAGAAGTCTGGGCACTGACTCCCTGTGCTTCAGCAAGCACCAACCCCGTCTGCCGGTTATCCTGTCTCCCTATACGCAGCTTGCTGTGGTATTTCTGTTAGACATTTCCACCCAGAACTAGATTTTACCAGCTGGGCTATGAAAAAAAAATCCAGCCTGTGATAAATGTTTTGAAAACACTTTCAGTAGTGTTGTGAGCTCTAATTGGCCCTTCTTAAACAACAGTAAAGCGATTCTGCATTAAATAAATGACTTAAAGAGGGGAAAAGAGATGCAAAGTCAATTGTTGAGTGGCTAGGAAATGTAAGCGCTTTGTTTGTTAGATATTGTTTCTCTTGGTGCTCCCTGGGTGCTTATTGGTATTTAGAGTCTTGTACAGCACAGACAACATTCTTAGAACTTAATGAATAATACATGGGGAAAATGGACTAGGGATCTAACAGTCTGAGGGAGATTTCTTATCCTGTATGAGGGAAATACTGCTAGAAATGGTAGCCTCTCTCAAACAAGGAGAAACTTCAAATACAATGTTCAAATATTGCCTTTAAAAGTGTTTACTTTGCCAAACATTCTCCTGTCTCTTTAAAGCTTTCATGGCTTAAAGAGGTACTTGGGTTCCCAACATGATCCTTATCTCACAACAAATGATCAAGTATAAAGCCTTCCAAAGTTGGAATGTCAGAACAATATACACTAAGACTTTTTTCCACAGGGCCTTTAAATTAGAGAGAGAGAACACTTTTTGATATTTTTTCTGGTTGGAAATAATGTAATAAATAAGACCATCTTCTTTCAGTTGCAATTTATAGATACAATTCCTCAAGAACTGGTTTCTGTGCATGAAAGCTATAAAATATGCATGTCATTTGCAAGAGATATATACTGTACATTTTCTGACTTATTCACAAAAGATTTCACTATAACCCTGCTGCAGGAAAGGGCCAAGGGACATCTGCAAATAACCAGACTAGCTAGATGAGTTTGATTTCTAGCTCTGTGTTTATTCCTTTTCCACTTCCCCCAGCAGGGGCATCTTCACGGGTCACTGGGTTTATGGTCTGCCAATGTTTATACTGCAAGTCTTTGGTAAGAGCATAGTCCTTGTATGTTCAGAAGAATTTGTGACCTCCTTTTGCGTGCCCAGAATATCTGGGATGGGAGTGGCCGCCTGCAGAAAGACAAGCGGGGAATTGCGTGTTCCCATTTCCCACATTTGTTGTGTGTTTTCAGGTTAAAGTGCTTGCAAAATGGCTCTTTGCTAGGAAAAGGCAAGAAGAAGGGAAGCTGAGATTTCCTTTTGCAAATAGAAGACTGAAGTAGTATAAAGAACTGAGCAACCTATTATTGGAGTGGCGTAGGGCACAACAATAAACTAAAATGAAAATCTTTTATGCACTAACCTTACAGAAAGATTATCTGATGCCTTAATTCTGCAGGGTGACTCCAGTTTTTGAGCCACTATTCCCCATCTGCTTTCTGGGCATCCCTCTCTCTCTGCTCTCCAGGGATGAGCAGCAAATTGCATCTCCTTTCACCTTGATTCTGCAAACACATCCGTACTTTTAATTCTAAGCACATGGCTAGTTCCACAGCATTCACTGAGATAACTTATGTGTGTAAAACAAAGCACATGAGGTGGTGCTTTGCAGGATCAGGACCTCAGTTTGTAGGGTGATACTGTGGAACTAGAATATTAGCCTAATGATTATAGCAACCTTAAGCGGAAGACTAGGAATGTCAGATACTAACTCTGACATATGTCTGTGTCAGGGGTAGGGAACAGGTGTGGGGGAAGCAAAGTAGAATACTGGCAGTATATTTAAAGTGGTGAAAAATATCATTTTCCATTGTAAATTACTGCTGAAAATAGAAAACTAAAGCAAAGGAGATACCAAGCACAGTGGTAAGCCAAGAACATCCCCCCTAGTATCCAGAATCCAAGGGAAAAAAGGAGGAGTGTGGAGATAGAAAATAAATATTAAAATCAATGCTGACACCCATAATTACAGCATAGGATCAGCAAATTGGGCATGAAAACCTGGCTCTCTTCTTTGCAGAGCTATATGCTCAGAAATGACACTCTGCTCCTTAGCTGAGACATACTGATGCATCTCATTCAATACAGGCTCCCTGTTGTCAGTGCTCTGCTCAGTTGCATGCTACTTTACCCATAAGGGTGTTGAACAAATATTTTGTATCCAAGAGAGACTCATTAATATTTTTTGCAACTTTCTTATTATTCTTCTGCACAGGCCTCATAGTGGGAGTCTCCTCCAGAGATGTCTTACGCACATGTCTTTAGGCAATGTTGATGACACTGAGGATATTGTTTTTCCTGAAAGTTTTATAACCTTCTAGGCTAGGGACAGAAGTTACACGTAAACCGGTTTAAGTGACCAGAAACTGGTTTAAACCTGTAACAGAACAGAAATTCAGTGCACATAAACCACTTGCAAAATGACTGAAACTGGTTAAAGATAAACCTGGTTGAATTTAGTATCAGACTTAACTAATTTAGATTAAACTGATTTATGGAACTTCTGTCCCAGACCCCTTCCTGGTTTAAATTAACTCATAGTCCTCCAGCATCTCAGGATGCTTTGCAGCTCCAGGCTGCGCTGTGCTGGACTAGGCTGTGTTGTCTGCTCCAGCAGAGCAGGGTTGACCCCACCCCTCTCCTCCCCACCTGGAGCACTATCACTGCTCTGGCTAGCTGAGAAGGGGGTGGGGGTGGCAGGGACCTCCAGAGGTCCTCTAGTGTTTAGTCCAGCCCCTGTGTGAGCCCTGGCCAGACCCTCCAGTACAAGCACTAGAATCTAAGGAGTGGAGGGTTTGCTCACCACGGGGGGTCTGTAGTGCTGGGGAAAAAAGCCACCAAGGGCTTCCTGGGGCCAGTTCCCCCCCACCCCCCGCCGCACAGTGGGGCCCAGTGCTATACCCCTGCAGCCCTGTGCCCCTAGGCAGCACTGCGCAGATCCCCCCTACCACCTGTCCCCACAGTGGTGGGGGGTGGAGGGGCGAAGGAGGAGGAGAGCCCTGCTAGCCGCAGCGGCTTCATGACAGCCTGGCCTGGCCTGGCCTGGGTGCAGGGAAGCTGGAGCAATCCAGGCGCAGAGCTCCCATGGTCCCAGCCTGAGACTTAGCCAGCTGGGTAGTGCACTGCTCCGACAGCTTGGCCCCTCTGCGCCCACCCTCAGCAGTGCCTGCAGGCCATCCTGGCTCAGCCCCACAGCCCCAGCCCCAGGCGAGGTGGGCGGATGACAGGGCTGGGCTGAGCCAGGCTGTGGGGGCAGGGCCCTTCCCAGCCGGCTGCAGCTCCGGCTGGGGCCATGGGAGCTGTGCACCTGGATTGGTTTCAGCTCCCCACGCTCAGGCCAGGTTGGGCTGTCACTGAGCCATTGCGGTGGGCAGGACTCTTCCCCTCTTTCTCCTCTGTCATGGGGACGAGCGGGGTGGGGTAAATGCAGCACTGCCTTGGGGCACAGGGCTAGAGGGGTGCAGCGCTTGGCCCTGCTATGGGGCAGGGGAGGAAAACCGGCCGCAGGAAGCCCTTTGTGGCTTTTTTCCCCAGGAGTACAAGAGCCCCACTGGTGAGCAAACCCTCCGCTCTTTAGATTCTAGTGCTTGTACCAGAGGGTCTGGCCAGGGCTCAGGCAGGTGCTGGACTAGACACTAGAGGACCTCTGGAGGTCCCTACCAGTCCCATTTCTCTGTGATTCTCCCCTTCACCTCAAGCCCAGGGCCAGGGGTCTGGCCATGCCCCGACTTTCACTGCTTGACCCTTCAGTGTCAGCTGGGGTCTGACCATGCTCCCCACAAACTGAATGCCCGGCAAAGGCTGCTTCCCGCCTTCCTCTTCCAGGCACGCTCTGGCTGGGGTCCCTGCAGGCAAGGGTGGGGATTTAATTCCCTCCCCACTCATACTCAGCCTGCTGGGGCCTGGCCACTGCCTCCCCTCCCCTCCCCGCAGCTCAGCTTTCCTCCAGCCTTCTGGCTACTGCTGAAGGGAAGGGAGGACTGCTCTAGCACCCCGCAGCTGCTAGCCTAAGCCACTGCAGGCATGTGCCTGCATTTCCAGTATCAAAGTGAATGTCTATTCACTTGCGTATCCATTCAATCTATGCAGGTTCGACTAACCTGCAAAGACTGAATCAATTCAGGCTTGGGCTTTTTGAATATCTGTACTTATCCCTAGACTCTCCAAGTCTGGGCAGCGTAAGTGGACTGAGCACCAGCAGTCAGGAATGACTGATTCTGACCCAGTCTCCAATGTGGGCATGCACCAGAATCACTGTAGCTTCAACTTCTAAATGGCCAATAACTCTGGGGTATGACATGATAAAGCTGGCCTCTGGTTTTCCACAGACACTTTTGCACTCCATTTGAAAGCAATGAGAGATACAAGATCAGCTTCTCTTCAATCAGGCCCAGAATATTTTAATTTAGAGCCTCCAAATCAGAGGCCACTTTAGAAAAAATGCAGAGGCACCTTATGGATTCTCTGCAGATTCTGGTATGCATCCATTGCACAGAGGAACCACTGTGAATGAACCTGAGCATCTACCCAGGTTTCAACGTAAAACTGCCCTTATAATAAAAATACAAGTTTGATTTTATACCTTCCACTCATTACACGGAATTTATTTCCTCCTTTGACAGGAAAACATGGATTAGAATATAAAACCCATGGGGAATCCCATATTGGGTAACTACAGTTTATAAGATTAAAGACAGACCCTGTTAATTCAGGAGGTACTGTTGTCTCCTATAATCACTGATAATGGACACTGAGACTCAGCAATGCCACTATTTTAATAGGATTTCTTTTTTTCCCCTTCAGTTCGTGCAAACTGGGCCAGATTAATTCTTCAAATAACTTCATTAAAGTCAGTAAACCTGTACCAGGAAAGAATATGGCTCTAAGTACAATTCAGACTCTCGGAAAGAAGCATATCCTGATGACTCGTTTGACTGTCATTAAACCAATCCAAGTCTTTTTTCCAAGTCATTATCACGGACCTTTTTGTTTTAATCATTTTTTTTAATTG